AATAAGACTTTAGTTACACCTGGAGTACATTTCATAATGAGTACTTTTACTTTTGGTACTTCAAGTTTATTTTGATGCAAATACTTGTTTACTTTTACTTGAGTAACATTTTTGAATGAAATATTTGTATTTGTAACAGAGTATTCCCACACTCTGGTACTTTTCTGGTACTTTTCTTAAGTACAAGATCTGAGTACTTCTCCAATCTCTGTCTAAATGTTAAGACCGGAGGAAATAAATGTGTTTTTTTGCAACTAAAGCAGAACACACCTACATCTGGTATGAAGGTGTGCAGCATTGATTTGGTTTGATTGTCGTAAAACTATATAGACAACACAGTTGTTCGAGTAGCTCTTGAAGGCAGCACGTCCCAATACAGGAAGTCTCGAAAGTTTTCAGCGCAGTGGCAACTTGTTATGCGTATCTCTCTGTGCACACGCTGCTGTTTGTGTGTGTGGGAGGCTGAGGATGGTCAGAAAACACTCGAGTTAATTGCGACAGACAGTTTTAACTTAGAAGGAGAGGAAGGAGGGTATTTTTCACAGATACGCCTCTGACTGTCGGAGAAGACAAGGATATTTTGGCTCCGACATTTCTCCCTGACTGTTACGAGACTGTGTTTGGCGTAGAGACCGTTTCTAACATCGAAATGTGGGAACAGGAGGAATTCGCAAAACACTGGAGGAATGAATTTCCTGACGGAAAGGTACCAACAATGGACTTGAAGTCTGTAGAGGACATCGAGTCGGAGCTGGAGGCGAGCAAAGCCAACCTGAAGAGGCTGCAGAAGGCTCTGGCGGAGGAGAAATTCAAGGTGATCTACCTGCAGACCACCGTGGCTCGGCAGAAGAGCAACGACCCGGAAAGGTTTGAGGGCAAAGATGAAAACTTTAACGCAGAGAAGCGTTCATTTTCTAAGACGGGGGATATTAGGAAACCGCGGCAGAAGGAGGATGAGGGCGACGGGCAGAGGACCAAGGTGTCCGAGGCTGGGGGCGTGAGGCTCCACGCGACAGGTAGTACACCGGGTTTCCTGAGCTCCTTCGGGCGGGAACGAGCCAGGTTCAGTGGCAAGACAGGTAAGCCCGTCCCCATCCCTGTCCCGCCACGGAGGTTAGACTTTCAGAGAGGGGACACTGCCCCACCTGTCCTTGCCTTACCGAATGATAACGACGTGGGGAGCGACCGAGAATACGAGGATACGGAGCTGAATGAAAACTTCGTCAGGAATAACTTGTTGGCTCCAAAGATGGGCGGCAGGGACAACCAGAGGACGTCTAATTCCCTGCGGCCTTTCCGCCACAGCAGGGACTTTGACTCCGGAGACGACGGCAGGCTGTCCCCGTCCTTCCCGCAGATTCTCTACAGACCCTCCCGCGGTTCCGGCTGCAGCACCCCGGACCGGAGGAGTGACGGATACCTGAGCTCCGACCACGAAGACTCCTCTTCTGCAGGTAAGAGTTTTAATGTCAACACTACCACTGCTTTTGTTACCCGATATAAAATATAAATAAATAGAAGAAACAATGTTAGCCTACTACCCCCACAATAACCTGGTATAACACAACACAACGGTGCAATCAATGGCCATGGCTTTTCTTGAGTTATGAGACCCTTGGTGATTATCAGGATCAAGTAGAGCAAATACACTCTTAGTGCAACAAGAGACCTGACAGTAAGTAATTCAAGACATCTGGGTTGCAGCAAAGGACAATACATAAGGGAACTAAAACATCTCAACAGATGACGGATGACATTTCATTAACTATGGCATTTTTTAATAGACACAGTGGATTGTCAACAAATGCATGTGTTGCATTTGACTTTAATCACCTCAGTGTGCACAGACTGAGCAGCTTGTCAATATTGTAGCACGGCCTGTTCAGTGGCCTGCAATCCACAGGACAATTGATCAGAAAAGTTATGTGATGTCTGACTGCTGTTTCCTCCTGCTGTGGCTAGCAGCTCTTCCATTTGGAGCGGACATCATCAAATCAAGAGACCCTTCCTAAGTTTGGCTCAGGACCAGACCTAAAGTGAATTGCTCTGAGTGGATGACTTTAGAGAGCTCACGCCTCATTTGGCATTTTCAGGTAGAGGCATAACAGGGAACAGTAATCAACCAGTAGTGATTAATCAGATATTTCTTGTTTTTGTACTACTCTGCTGCATCACATTTTCTTGAATCACGTGGATTAGTGGTTTACCTCAGACTACTAGGCCCAAGGTATTCTGTCTATGCTTTTGCTGCAGTACATAAACAGTGCCTTAAAGAATGTATGTGCTGTTGACATTATGTGTCTTGTGTGTGAAGCAGTCAGCATTAAGTAGTCTATCTAGGAGCCTGAACTCATTTCTCAATTGTAGTTACGGCCCAGAAATGAAGAGGTCTGCTGGCCTTTTAGATTAACCCTGAGGGAGCTGCAGTATAGTTTAGAGCTAAAAACGGTTGAGACCTCAGATTATACCTAAACCCCCAGATTAAGGTTATAAAGACAAGTGAAATGGAAGCTACTGCAAGATTGTTTTGCTGACATGCTTTGAGTTGCAGAGTGGCTTGAAGGAATAGTTCAACATTTAGTAATGCACTTGTTTGCTTTGTTGCCAAGAGAACATTGGTTCCACTCATGTATGTGTGGTAAATATGAAGCTATTTTCATTTGGCACTCAGTTTAGCATAGCATAAAGACTGGAATCAGGGGCGTAGGAGCCCAAATGCTTATTTAGATGTTGTTTATTGTCTTATTATTATTATTATTATTATTATTATTATTATTATTATTATTATTATTATCATTATTGTTAACACCTCACATATTTGTAATTGGCCACTCTCGCACATTTTAACATGGATGTGGTTTATGGTATTTAGGGCACCTTTTGTTCGGGGTTTGTGGATGACAAAGCCTGATATTTTCTGTTGGCTGTGTCTTAACTTGCTTATTGTTTGTTTATTTTCTTTGTTAAATATCCTAAAACTTTAACTTCAGTACAGAATTTTTTAGAATATGTCACAGCTTTGAGCCAAGGTTAACCTCTAAGCGTCATCATTTATTGGGAAATTGTCGCTACAGGGGGAAAACAGCTAGACCTTTCTGATGGTGACAGAATCAGCATACCAGCAACTCTAACAGCCTTACACTCTAGGGACCAGACAAATTACAAAACGATACAAAAGTGTGATGCGTTTATGACATTCCAATGGCGATTACAGAATTCCAGCCCCATTACAAAATGTATTTACTTCCCAGCCCCTGACAAGATGGTATCAATGAGCAAAACAAATAATATGAAGGCTTATCCAGGATGTAGGATTCACAGAGATATGGTATGCCATTACATTGTCACTTCCTCCTTAAAGTGTGGCAATATTGACACAGATTGTCTGCATGCCATGAGTCAAAGGTCAATGACTAACTTGAGCATTGGAATAGATAGAGGAAGACAGACAAAACCTTTTTTTTGTGACACATCCGTTCCCAAATCTGTTCTGCCCTTTAATATTATGGAAGGCTTAATTATTTTTGTAAGCTCATTTTCATTTTCTGTGGTTCTGTTGATGGCTTCATGGTAACTATAGGGATTTACTGTATTTTAACTGTTCTGGATTATAAGGATTTTGGTAAAAGACTGACTTTAGTATTCAAACAAGAATCACAAAAATAAAGAAACATTAGCCATAGCAGAAAGAGACCTTCCGGCCCAATCATTCCTTTCAGTTACATTTAGGCACCAGTGAATTCAATGGTGACGCTAAAGGGGAAAAACATAATAATAATAATTTAATTAAGCAAACCAGGAAAATCTTCAATGTCATTTTTGAAGCTTGTCATTTAAAGTCACACCTTTGTTGATATGTGTTACTTTATTATAATTAGACGTGAATTTGTGGGAAATGGCTCTAAAAGAAAGTCCTTTGACATGTGAGACACTGTGAGACACTCACATTGGACACTGTGAGAGCGTCTTGCATCTCAAGAGCTAGTCTTGTTTCTGAAATATTGAATGAACCAAGAAACTGCATTGTTTTGTCATTATAACACTTCCATTTAAGTTATAGGGGGATGCATTACCCATAAACCTGTGGGTCAGTAAGGATAAGCAGCACTTACTGTAAGTCCCTTAATCTATTCCATCTTTGTTGTCCGGCAGGAAAATGGTGTTTTGATCTGAACTGGGATAATCAGTGGAAAGACTTGATTAAACAATAGAGGGTGTGTAGAGCGGTGGGAAATGATTATGTGGAATCTGCCTGACACACACACACACACACACACACACACACACACACACACACACACACACACACACACACACACACACACACACACACACACACACACACACACACACACACACACACACACACACCAGTTCTGGGCTCATGCCAGGGGGTCTTGCTCATGTCGAGGCCTTTGTGTGTTTGCTGGGAAGAGGTCACCCACCCATCGGGTCATGTGTCTGAAGCCACCTGTCTGGCCTCTGTCTGTCTGGCCTCTCTGTAGGCTGTGATTCACCTCT